TAGATCACTCACTCAGATACTGAACATTTTCACAGTTTACTGTTCCCTAGTCATTCTTCTGTTTCTATCTTTCAGTGTGAATAATTCTGTAGTTCTTCTGTGGTATGTTAATACATTTGTGCTAAATGAAATAAGTGCATCTCAAGTTTCCAGTGATGCTCGCTAACATTTCTTCACTTCAGGACATTGTCGTTTTGATGTTGTTCCATATATATATATATATGTGTGTGTGTGTGCGTGCGCTGACTTGGATAGACCACGAGATATACCAAAAAGACTCGACAGACCATATCCCGGCAAACACTTGGGGTCACCAGCTAGAAGGAAAAGGCCGGTCACAGAGATGAATGGCGGCAGGCGATATCTGGAGCCGCAGACCTCAAGGGCTTGAAATGCCGACAAAGAAGAAGAAAATATTATATTTTTAAAATAAACTGGCCATTTATTTTGTGAGAACAACACAGCAACATGCTGTCATGGAATGCTTGTGATGTTCATAACTTTGTCAGTATATTATTGTCTAAAAATTATTTTACCCTGTCACCTTAAGAAAGCTGTTTTTCTGACCTTTTCTGGTTTTGTTTTTTGTTTTTTCTGGATTGAAGACTTTTGGTGTGGCCACTACACCTGCATAACAGATTTGGTACTGGATCCAAACACAGTGTTAAGACATGGTGGGTATGACTACCCGCACAGGTGCACACACTCGCACACACACAGAAGGAGAGAGAGATGGGATATTATTTGAGCTATTGAAAATGAAAATCAGTTTTAATAATTGTGCCATCATGGTGACATCATAAACATCTCATAATTATATCTCTGTGTAACCTTGTTGGTGTTGTTAGGGCAACAGTGCTGGTGTTGTTAGGGCAACAGTGCTGGTGTTGTTAGGGCAACAGTGTTGGGGTTGTTAGGGCAACAGTGCTGGTGTTGTTAGGGCAACAGTGCTGGTGTTGACTTGTTCTACATGTTTGACCCTGTGCGTGCCTCACCCAAGCCATAAAGTCTGGACACACAAACACATATTTAAAGCAAGATGATGTGGTTGATATCATTTATTGTGGCACAACAATCAGTCATTCTGTCCATGTCCTAAGTTCTCCCTAGTCATTGACACTTGCTCATGACAGCCTCCCACGACAAGACGATAGTTAAACAATGGTTGCAGTTACCTGCCAGTCAGGACGTTCCATTAAAACAGATAATGGCATCTGAATCATCATAAAACAAATGTTCACCTAACACTAGATGTTGTCACTTAGACTCAATTCTCCTCAGGCATTCGAGCTTTGCAAATGCTGGTCCTCCAGTTTCACAATGACGTTCGTCTCACTCGTACCATCAAGCAACCATCCTCTCACGTGGTCAAAACAAGCTGACTCTACCTACTCTCTTTGTTCAAACCTTCCGTTCCAGTGTCATGCTTTTCCCGTACCCCTGTTCACACAACACAGGATAATTGACACATGCTTTTCTCCCTTTTCTCTTGTTTCACTGGCTCTCTGACCTTGTCCCCTTATTTGGGAACTCTCTGATATTTCTCCCTGGAAACCCCCCCCCCCTTTCCCCCATTACACTCTTTATTGTGAGTAATTCAACAAAACCAGGCTTGTTATATAATGAAAGGGAGGGAAAGCAGTTAATTCCGTGCTCTGTATCCTATTTCCATTCACACACACACATTTTAAGGGTGACTTATCACCCACATGCAAGAGTGTTGCACAAAGTATTAACTCCATAGCACCAAACACCACTCCAGGGATCACTGAAACATCTGTAAAACTATTTTCAGGATGAATTAGTCTAGCAAAACTATTTTATCATTGAGCTGATTCCATTTAACTCTTTTAGTCCCAAGGAACACATCATACATTCATAGATTCCTACCTAGAAGCCCAATGAACGCAAGATGCAGCGATTTTACATCTCTTTTGACTATCCCTTGGGCCTGTGATGCTAAACCCCCTGGGACTCAAAGAGTTAATGAAACTAATTTATATATATATATATATATATATATATATATATATATATATATATATATATATATATATATATATATATATATATATATATATATATATTTATTTTTTTTTTTTTTTTTTTATCTCTATTAAAAAATAGTGACACTGAGTGATTTGCATGCCTGCCTGATTGTCAGTTAACCTCCACACATCTTGGTTGTAATTGCTTTTAAATTAATGATTTTGAATCAGTAAGAAGTGAGATAATTATTTGATGATGTTTGTTAACTGCAGTATGATAATGATACCATCTGTCACATGCTATTTCAACTGAGTGTAAACCATTTCTGTCTTTTGCTGGCTTCTCATGAATGCAATACAACACTGCTATCACTCTTGGATGTCATACATTGTAATAGTGACTTCAGCTGAGTATAATGCAGTGATACTGTTTAGCATTTGGTTACTTCCATTAAATATAATACATTGCTATAGGAGGTGAAGAGTTTCTATATCTTTTGTATGATTTAAAAAGGATTGCAATTATAAGGTTTTTATTGTCTCTGTCGCTTTAATAATGAATCTTGAAGCTTTACATCAATAAATGCTGTGGTAATATGAGTAAAATCCATATTGTTCATTGCCTACTGTGTTTGTGATGGACACATTATTTTAGATTACTTTATTGAAGACAGGCAGTTATTACTCTAGTGACAGTTGAGCATTCTCAGAATAATGATTGTAGTTGAGGCCGTTAACCTTGATTCTTTAGCTGAAGATGTCAGAATGGTTACACTAGTTTGGGTTTTCTGAAGGGTTACACTAGCTAGCTTTGTCTGAAGCATTACGCTAGCTGGGGCTATCAGAAGGGTTACACTAACTAGGGTTGTCAGAAGGGTTACACTAGCTGGGGTTGTCCGAAAGGTTACAATAGCTGGGGTTGTCAGAAGGGTTACACTAACTAGGATTGTCAGAAGGGTTACATTAACTAGGGTTGTCAGAAGGGTTACACTAACTAGGGTTGTCAGAAGGGTTACATTAACTAGGGTTGCCAGATGGGTTACACTAACTAGGGTTGTCAGAAGGGTTACACTAACTAGGGTTGCCAGAAGGGTTACATTAACTAGGCTTGCCAGAAGGGTTACACTAACTAGAGTTGCCAAAAGGGTTATATTAACTAAGGTTGTCAGAAGGGTTACATTAACTAGGGTTGTCAGAAGGATTACATTAACTAGGGTTGTCAGAAGGGTTACACTAAGTAGGGTTGTCAGAAGGGTTACACTAACTAAGGTTGCCAGAAGGGTTACATTAACTAGGGTTGTTAGAAGGATTACATTAACTAGGGTTGTCAGAAGGGTTACACTAACTAGGGTTGTCAGAAGGGTTACATTAACTAGGGTTGCCAGAAGGGTTATACTAACTAGGGTTGCCAGAAGGGTTACACTAACTAGGATTGTCAGAAGGGTTACATTAACTAGGATTGTCAGAAGGGTTACACTAACTAGGATTGTCAGAAGGGTTACATTAACTAGGATTGTCAGAAGGGTTACACTAACTAGGATTGTCAGAAGGGTTACATTAACTGGGGTTGCCAAAAGGGTTACACTAACTAGGATTGTCAGAAGGGTTACATTAACCAGGGTTGCCTGAAGGGTTACACTAACTAGGGTTGCCAGAAGGATTACACTAACTAGGGTTGCCTGAAGGGTTACACTAACTAGGGTTGTCAGAAGGGTAACACTAAGTAGGGTTGTCAGAAGGTTTACACTAATTAGGGTTTTTAGAAGGGTTACACAAATTGAGGGTGTCAGAAGGGTAACACTAAGTAGGGTTTTTTAGAAGGGTTACACAAATTGAGGGTGTCAGAAGGGTTACACTTGTTGGTGTTGCCAAAAGGGTATACTAGTCGGGGTTGTCGGAATGGTTATACTAGTTGGGGCTTGTTAGAATGATAACACTAGCAGTGGTAGTGAGAACTATGGTGATAGAATAGGTGCTTGGGTGGTTAGAATAATGACAGGAGATTGGTTGTGAAGTGTGGGTGTAGTTAGGGACTGGCAGTGGGCGCTCCAGAATCAGAAGTTTAGCAAATAATTCATGGCCATTCCCACCCAGGTGATGTGATTATCTATACAGATGGCTCTGTGTTTAGAATCAGAAGAAGTGCATGGGATTCATAGCAAAAGCGAATGGACGTCGCTTAGTGCAGCAACAAAGCCTGGCGTATGATATCACAATGTTTAGTTTGAGAATGGAGGTGGAGGCAGTCCTTTCTGCCTTCCGCTGAATTAAGAATCAGCTGAATAAACATATCGTAATTGTAACTGACTCACAAAGCATCTTGAGAAAGGTAGAGACCAGCATGCTCCGTGTAGAGTTGCGAGCATCGCTTCAGATGTTCTTGGTAGTTAGCATCCTTTGGGGTTTTTTTTCCGGTTAATGCCGATGTGTTAGGAGACGAGCAGGCAGATAGACTGGTCGGTTCTGTACCACTTGGTGGTGAACTGATGTATGACAAGCTAGATGTTGTGAGGGCCCTTTGGGAACCAATGAACAGTGCGAAGGCACAAATAGATACAGTCTGAGGATAATGACCCTGTGAGGAGTTCCAGGGGATATGGCCGACGCTCAACACTCAAGGGAAAGGCGAAACGTATACACAGTCAGACAATTACTGGGACCATCAGAATTTGAATTTTTCGCTCACTGCTGAAGTAGTGGTCGGAGCACTTATGGGAGTATCCTAATTGGCATGAAGTCGATTCTTAATTCAGCAAATAATCTTGAACAGGTTGACCGCATATATTTTGAAAAATGTCTCGTGACTGAAAAATTATTTCAAGCGAACTTAAACTGTACAATCAAACTGGCATTCCCCAATCTGAATGCTCACGTTATCGCAGAGATTACAGTTTGAAAGTAAGACACGACACAGTTACTATAAAACTAGTCTAGCTGTAAGGCGTGTAAACAAAAGTTAATTGAATAATTCTTAGACACTTGTCAAGATAAGCTTAGACAACACACGAGACAATGAAACTGTTAATAGCAATTCTGTTTATTTGGGCTGTAGGTAAGCAGGCAGTAATTGTACTTTGTATTACAGTCACAATATAACATCCGAGTAAAAAATAACATTTTTAAACAAGCAAACCGGTGCACGATATCTTGTAGAGATTTGAACATGAATGTTCTAGCAAAAGTAGTCTGTTGCAACATAAAAAACATAAATACATATGTCAGCTGCAGTGAGAAAAAGTGTGTTGAAGTACTATGAAGGACTTGTACTGTCGAAGGCATTAGAAACATGGACAACGCGCAGACAAGCCGAGAAACATACATTTACGGTGGAAATGTGACTTCTCTAGAAAATTCACAGAATACTATCGACTATCAGGAAAACAAATTAAGCAGTCTTCAAAGAAATAGAGAAAAATCGGTTGGAGAAATTAGATGCGAACAATCAAGATCTATATTTAGATCATGTAAGAAGAAAAAACAACTGACAAACTAATTGAGAATTGAAAGAAGGATGGGAAATGAGCAAAAAGAAGATACAGAACGTCAGTCTAAAAATCTGGAGACATTGACCATAAGGCATGAGCCTGACAAGAACACAAACCTGATCCGCTTTTCCGGTGATTGCGTGAGGCATCGAATAAGGACTGCCTCACGGCTGACTGACGGCATTACACGTGATGTTGATTGTGAAGATGATGGTAATTTTAGTCCCTTTAATGTTAACCTTTGAAATGTTTCCAAGAATCATGGTTGTTTAATTCAATAGGTTTGACGTCATTTTGCAGATAATCCTAATTATTTATAACTCTAGATGGTGTAGCCTCCATCTTTACATCAGTTGGCTGTAATTTCTAGCTGATAAATTATTCTAGAAGAAACATCTGAATCTGTACCTCGCTTAGCTTGATGTTCATATGAGTTATTCATCTTCTTTTATCAGCCAGTGGAATGCCAGCTGAACAGCAGGAGCAGAAAGATGGTAAACTGTTTTTATATAACAATGTTTACTGTCTTATTAAAATGGTAGAATCGTTAAAACAAAAAACAAAAAAACAAAAAAATGAGAGACTGAGACATTCGCTAAAGAATTGAGGGAGAGGTAAATTATCATTGTACGTGATTACAAATAATGGTAGATTCAAAATAAGTCACAAGTAGAGGACATCGAGACACCATTCTTAGGAGGGAGGGAGAGAGAAAGAGAGAGAGAGAGAAACATTTTTCCTTTACGTCTGTATTATCCCATTTTAAGGGCGAACTAGGACATAAAGTCTTAAGCCTGAGTGGTTACCTCAGACGCCACGAACTGTTTTTTTTTTTTTTTGCCCCTACATAACATACTTCCATCACTTTACCGAGGATTCGAACTAGGGTATCCCACATGGGAGCTCAGAGTTATAATGACTTGGCAAGCCGCTCCTCACTCTTGAGAAGCTTAATGCAAACTTTATGAACAGGGATAAGATGACCAGATATGAGAACATCCCTGACACATCAGCAAGGTCTGATTGTATCCACAGTTAGATAGACACTAGTTATAGAGACATTGGTTTGGACAACTAATTTTATGAAGCATGTTTACAATATCGAACATCTAGAAATGTGTGTTTCTAGCTTGTGTTCATTAGATAGAAACTTCTACTGGTTTAATCTAGAATGTTTTGTTAAAATGTACTAACTCAGCTTGCAATGTACTTTGTCTGACAACAGACAGGTTTAAGGTAAAGGGAACATAGAGGTTTGATTTCCGACAACAGATGATAGATACATTCCTTGTCCTAACATGACAAATTTTATTACTTTTTGTTTGTTTGTTCGAGGCTACCTCAGTATCCATTACTAGTGTCAGTCACAGACCGTTACTAATGGGCGAAAAATCATAATGTAGATGAGGCATCTTGGTAGAGCTACAGGAGTAATAAGAAAAGTTTCAATAACCATACACTTTGTTAAAGAGTTACTCGCGAAATGGATTAGGCATAGACGGGAATGCGCTGGAACTAAATGCCACAAAGAGCTACGTTAGAGAACTTCAATAAACGTAGCAAAGGTGAAAACCATGCAAAATATGGAATGATGTATGTGTGTGTGTAAGTTGTACCCCACTAAGACATCACACAAGCGATGAGCATCACCCGTGGATATTTCCCGGAACCCCGTTCAGCCTAAGGCCATATTTCAGGCCGAGCTATATTTAGGGCCCCCGGCAAAAGCCAGAGTGGGGCTTCAAAATAACTAAAAATTGCATCCCACAAGGGAATGTCCAGATCTGCTGCATATGGAATGATAGCGTAAAGGGCAACATTAGAGAATAAAGGCCAAGGGATAAAACGCATTAGAAAAAGCACACATTCAGTCCTTACATCTTCCCTCAAATGTTCTCTGGTGAATGAATAAATAGAGTGGTGGTGTAGATGAGCAGTAGTGTTAGTGGTCGCTCTTGTATATAGGAGCGACAGCAGCAGTCGGTCTAGTTGCTGAAAAATGAACACCAGCTGGTATAAGTAGCAGCAGCAGTAGCAGCAACACGTTTTGTTATGCCTGTAACGGTTTTATTATATATAATTTGCCGAAGCACTTTAAAAACGCATCATTATAATATATACTGTCGCCGACAAGTTGGGGAGAATGTGTGTGAATGGACTGTTCCCATGTTTGTCATAAGGAAGAGAGCAAATGGCTGCTACTATGTAAAGTGTATGATTCAACCCTCGGGTCTGTGCAGTCTGTATGAAAGTTTCACGCACAGCACTATTCCCAACAGCTAAGGAGTTGTGGCAATATATCCGGTATAAAAGGCAGTTGAAACAAAACACTCAGAACATGTTCTTGCAATGCCACGACTATCTGAAAACGACCACAAGAGAGCCCTCTTAGTATGCCAGAAGAATGAATTGTTGCCCGAGCACTGTTGCACGTCTTAGTAAACGTTACCGAGCCGTAGACAGTGTCTCAGATAGACATCGGAGTGACCAACCAGGAGTTACTATGCAAGATCTTTACATTGTGCTGAGTCACATAATGAAAGGTTTTATTTCTGGCAAGTCGAACAGAAACGGCAATAGTCAATACACATGGGTGAGTCTCTCGAATGACAGTCACACGACTACTCAGAGATACCGGCCTTACTGCAAGACGACCTTATGTAGGGCTCACGGATATCGCCAGGAGCACCTGCAATAAGCAGATCAATATGTCAGATGGACTAGAATGCAGTGGAAAGCGTCCTATTCACAGAGGAGTGCAGGTTCAATATTATCCTTTCCTTGGATGCAGACTCTACAGGCAAGAGCCTGCAGCTGAACTGTAACAGCTGGAAACTGCTGTAGTACTTGAGCCCGGTTTTGACCACCGATTTGTGCCTTCCACGCGGAGCCATTGCCAGGCTGTTTGCAAAAATGCGGTGCAGATACCAGATACTGAAAGTATTGCGTACGGTTATTTTTTTAATTGGTTGCAATTTTGGTTTTCTCCCTTGCCTGCACAGAGTGCAATGAATTTCATACCAATCTAAAGTACAAACTAATTACCAACATTAAAAAATTTACAAATTAATTACCAGCATGGTTTCAAAGGAAAATGAATTAGGATTCCAAATATGTAAAGTAAACTTTGTGTATTTGTTAGTTGCGGATCCTTCACATGACGTTGCAGAACCAACCCTAACAGCTCCTGGTTTTTCTATGCAAATTTACGTTCAGTAGTTTGTCATTGCAACCGGGCGGTCTGCTTTCTTGATACCACTGTCGAAACCAATCGATTGAACACGGCATACCGGCATTACGAAGCGTTCGCATTGACTTAGCCACAGAGCCGACTACTTATGTAGATAAACACTTATAATTATATTCCTGAATTATTCAGTTGATACATTTATAATGTACGTATGTGTTTGTGTATATCCATTACTGACATATTTGTATATTTGTTATCACTTACTAGAAATACAGAGATCGCTCGCGCGCACACGCACACACACACTCTCTCACACACACACACACCCACTCACACGTGTAACCTCTATAGCTTTAAAACGCCGTTTGTTCCTTGCTGCATACTTCTAGTGACCCTATATTTATCTTACCTGAAAACGGATAAAACGTGCACTAATAGTGTATTGTAATAATATTTAACAGGGCTGTTGGTTACAAAACCTCATGATTGTTACTTTTTTATCCACAGATGCTTCCAGGGCTATTTGTCCTCTGGTGATGTGTGACACCTATTGTCCCAGTGGTCATGCTATCGATTCCAAGGGCTGCACACTTTGTGCCTGTAACAATTTCCTTTCGTTAAAACCTATCTGTCCGCTTGTAATGTGTGCGCTTTACTGCGAGAACGGATTCCAAATCGGCGACAATGGTTGTCAAACCTGCAAGTGTAACACCGGCATCACTGCTGTAGACGAGACAAATCTGTAACATGTACGACACAGAGACCATTGTAGTGTAGTCACTATAAAATACATAGTAATACAGTTGACAGCAGTAAATCTCCTTTTATTTTTAATGTGAGTCTTGTCTTGTAATCTCCATGCATTTTTAGGGACTGATTCAGATTTTGACTAGAATTGTTTTGGACCAGATGACGTCTATGTTTTGTTTGTCAATAGTTAAATAAGTGGATTTGATTCTCATCTATTACTGGGAGACGGGGTTAGACAATGGCTGCGTGGAAACTTTGGGGTTAGACAAATGTTTTGCTATATGGGGATGTCGACTTTCCATCAAACAAACAAAACTAGAATGATAAAAAAAAAGCCTTTTTTTTTGGCTTCTGTAATTGTTAATAATTATGAGAAGAATAAGAAACAAAATTAAACCAGAAATCAGCGATGAACAATGTGGATTTGTGGGAGGAAAGTAATGGTGGTATCAAAGAAACGAATTATTCCTAAATGTGTAATAAAAGTCAATGGTGTTATTTTAGGACAAGTACAGAAATTTAAGTATCTGGGCACATGGATAACATCAGATGAAAGATGCATAACTGAGATAAGAAACAGATTAGGACTGGCAAAAACTGCATTTGATAAAAAATAAAGAATATCTTGTGCAATATATCCTTGTCATTGAGAGTAAGAAAAAGAATTCTTGCTTGCTACATACATCCAGTTTTAACATATGGCTGTGAATCCTGGACAATCTGTAGGCAGGCCAAACAATTTCTTGAGGCCTCAGAGATGTGGTTTTACAGAAGAATGCTTAGAATACCTTAGACAGCCTAAAAAAGCAAAAAAGAGGTTTTGAAAGAGGCGGGAGCCCGAAGACAACTTATCACAGACATCAGAAGGAGACAGTCATCATTTTTCAGCCATGTTGTGAGAAGAGGGAAAATAGAACATGTTGTGAACACTGGAAAGATCTGTGGAAGAGGGGATAGAGGAAGACAACGAGAGAAAATGCTTGACAGTCTTGCTGCATGGCATGGAGGAGGTGTGTCGGCACACGAACTGATACATGCTGCATGAGATCGCAGATTATGGAGAGGCATGATCGCCACGCCAGTCGGCAAGGCATCTGATGATGATGATGATGAATTGTTAATTACTCTGTAACTCTGCACGGTGCAATATTTGGGGATTTTTGTTTTGTTCAATGCTGCGCACCTTTAGAATTGTATTTACTCTTCATGCCAGTAGGAGAGGTCACATTCCACATTCTCGGCTTGCAAACCTTTAGAATGGTTTCCAGTTTTCAACACACTTGTAACGGATATTAATTTAAAACCACGTACAGAGCCAAGCACAACTTCACTGCAAAGGAGTCGTCCCATAGCTACTTCATCCCTGTGTTAGTGGAAACCTCACAGTATGTTCTTTGCTTTTCCATTTGAAAAACTAGCGGTGGAGAAACATATCAGTCACAGCACAATATTGTGGCACTCTCGTTTTTTTTTTTTTTTAAATGGCCAGTCCTGCATGTTTTTGAAGCGATAAAATGGCTGACGTGCTGAAATATACAACATGCGACATGAATGCTGTTGTATATTTTCCACATGTCAGCGCTTTCAACGCTCTAAAAACATGCAGGACTGAGAGTGCTGCAACCTGTGTCACAGGCAATCTCTCTCTCGGAATGAAAACGTAAATGGAAGACAACGCAGTAACTTTTTCGAGCAAACAGTATATCGGGACATACCCGTAACCTTCAGCAAAGTTGACGAGCCTGAGCAGGTACCAATCAAACGTGACCTAATGTGTAATTTCTCGGAGATAACACACATTGGGGAGATTTCCGTAAGGTTTACACTTTGAATCAGTGCTGACACATGATCTTCCATGTCAGGATGTTAGACTGTCCAGCGTCTTCTCCTCTGGTCTTCCTCTGCCTCCACCCAGCCCCCTCCCCCACTCCTCACCTTTCCACTATCACGATGTACACGAGGTGTCACCTTCTCATAACATATCCAGAGAATGTAGATTGTCTCCTTCAGATGTGGATATCAGGTATCTTTGGGAGTTAGTTTTAAATGACAATATTCTTTTTTTTTTTTAATCTGTTTAGGGTGTTCTCATCCGCCGCTTGCACATAATTTGAGCGTAATATGATTCAAAATATAGTTAACTTAGACACATTTAATGTCATATTTAAATTGTAACTCATTAACAGACTTAATAATTTGTGTTTGAGTTTTCGTTAATGTCAACCTCATATCATTCTCGACATTTAATATGTTTCTTGTGTTGGTTTTCTAATTTAAAAAAAAAAAAAGTTGGAAAATTCGCTGTCACGGAGATCTATAGAAACAGAGGTTAGTAAAACTCGAAACGCAAGCATGGTGACATTTGACCGATACATAGCATACCCGAGTTGATTTAGCAGTCCCCCCCCTCCAACCCCCCCCCCCCACACACACACACACACACACACCCCACTACCACCACCACCACCACATAAGGAATCGTTCTACAGATCCGAGAATTAACCTTGTACTTCAACGGAAATGCTGGCGACAGAAGAATAAAATAACCGATTTCGTGCTATAGCAGCTTGTTCTTGGAGTAGGATGCCATAAAAAGAAACCCCATTACTATTTGTCTGGTTTATTCTCATAATCTTCCCTTTTCCTTATGCCTTTTTAGACCTTGTTGCTTTGATCTCGCATCAAGTATATTTAATTTATCCTGCATTTGATTCCGTGAGTGGGACAGAAAATAAATATCATCAGCGAAGTCCAGATCATCAAGCTGTTTTGTAGGAGTCCACTGAATCCCATTCTTGGTATTAGCAGTTGCAGTTTTCATGAGCCAGTAGAAATAGGAGAGGCGACAAAAGACATCCCTGTCTCACATCTGTTCTTATTTCAAACTAGCTGCACTCGGCCACGCGTTGCTGAGGCTCAGAATGGTGAAATGGAAAAAAAAATAGCTCTCAACTAACAGTGTCTGTCATATCGCCCACCGCCCCCCCCCCCCCCCCCCCCCCCCCCAACATCCTCTCCCCTCGACCCGGTCATATCTCCCTCTCCAAAGGATTGAAAAATTACCTGGTGAAATTATTAAAATAGAAATAGTTAAGAAATGAGAACTTTAAAATAATGTTTTAAGCTCTCTCAGCTAACCGTGTCTGGCATAACCCACCCCCACCCCCTCCCCCAATCATATCTCTCTCTCCGAAGGATTGAAAAATCACCTGGCGAAATTATTAAAATAGAAAAACTTAGGAAATGAGAACTTAAAAATAATGAGAAAGTCATCATCTGACGAAATATTGTAACTAAAGTGAGCTTGGCATCCGTGTCCACCCAGACTAAAATTGGTAGCATTAATTTGTACTGAGAAGTAAATGTGGCCACTGTAACAGCTACCACATCACCCATCCAGTACCAGTACTACTGCTACCACTACCACCACCACCACCACCACCACCACCATCACAACAACAACAAAAACTGTCACTACAGTCTGTGTTCGGTGTAGCCAGAGAAGTTAAGCCCGCATGCTGTCGCCACGGACTGTTTGGTTTAATTTTGCCCCCGACATGAAAAAAACAAACTTTATCACCTAACCATTGATGGAACCCACAGTAATATTCCGTGATGAAAAAAAAACGTACACTATACTCACAAATAGCGGAGAAAAATACGCCGCACCAGACATCTGAAGGGACGATATTTAACTGACCTTGGCATCTGTGTTCATCCAAACTAAACTGGACTGTAAGCCGTCTTAGTTAACAGTTTATGTCATCGCCGAATAGTTTTGATCGAGAAGCGTCGCGGGGGAGCGGGGGGGGGGGAGGGGAGGCTAATTGATACTGTAAGAAAATCGGATGTCTGTGGGCGAAAGCGCAGATATCGCAGCCTTGCTGTAAACCACAACACAACGTGACAACCACCAAAAAAGAAAAATTATCACCCAGCGGGAAATCGAATACCGGTCACCCACATGAAGTGTGAAATACTTACAATTACCGAAGACTGTGGAGTTTCAGATATCGCAGCCTAGCTGTAAACCACAACACAACGAAGATTACCGTGACATGACCATTGAGCATCACGTCGCAGCTATTGTAGGCTAGCTGTAAACTCCAAAACCGAAAAAGGTGTAGAATCGCAGCCTAGCCATAAACCACAACTCAACGTGCCAGCCGCCCAGTTAGGGGCCCAAATCAAAAATTATATTACCTAGCGGGTAATCGAACGTCTGTCACCCGCATGATAGGCAGAATAGTTACAACTACGCTACCAAAGACTAGTAGTATATAATAATGCAAAGTTCAATAAGAAATAATGTCTCAGGTTCCGGTCTTTACATATCCAAATACTCAGTCAGGAAGTGTGCATAACAAACGTAGATCAATCAAGTCAAAGTAAACAAAGCTGCAAAATGTGAGCCCAAGGCGACATATAAATATATGGATAATGGGGGAAAGGCACCTATTGGAAGCCCTGCTCAGCAGTCAAAAATGGCCAATCAACTAAAAACAAATCTGGGCCGGCAACGAAACAAATAATGATTTGACTGTTGCTGGAGCAACGTCGTTCGTGGTTTGTGCGATTTTGTGACATAAAAACATGCTCTGAGTCAAAGGCGACGTTGTGTGAAAATTTAAAAAGCAATCGGTTCAGTAGTTTCCGAGTCTATAGTTTACAGCCTCGGAAAATTACCATTTTTATTAATATAGATAGATTATCTGTTAGCTTTATCTCAAGAAGAACTCAACATTTCATGTCTTTGTATGCTTTCTTTACTAAGTTAATAATTGTCTGTGGGGTTCCATAGTACTCATTTTTAAAAGAGATTCCATATCAATGCTGTCATAAGCTTTTTCAGTCTATGAATCCAACGTAAAGTATTTGGCCGAAACCCTGCTTTTTCTCTGTTAGCTTTTCGTCAATAGAAACTTTCAGTCTTTAAAAAAATTTTGTTTATCAAGGAAAGCAATATAATTCCTCTGTAGCTTTTACACTCCTACCGATCAATATTTGTGTGTGTTGTATTTCACAATAAATGTTGTTGTTGTCTGCTAGTATTTCTTCGGTTTCCCAGACTTCACTAAATAATCTATGTTGTAATTCAAAAATGTTTTTAAATTGGCCCTAATAACTTTTGCTGATATACCATGTGGACCTGCAGCTCTTTCTTTTTTTTCAGATAGCTTTCCTAATTTCCTTTTAGACGGTGTCTCACAGATAATATCCAGTTCCATTTATAAAAGCTTGATATTTAGAGGGCCGTATGGGCTGGTCTTCTTCTTCTTTGTTTAAAGCATGTAGGCTCCTGTGGAAAGTCCTGTTGTTCGTCCATTTGGATTTTGACTTTCATCCAGGGTTTCAGTTTTGCATGTACATCTGTTTTGCTGGCTTATTTGTTTGCTCGTGGTTGTTTCTTACAGCTCGCACAGATGCAGTCTGACTTCGAAGAAAGTCACCAGTCAGACGACTCCCACGACATGCTTACTGCGGAGAGAGTGGTCTATTCTTGTTCCCCCCCCCCCCTCCCCCCACTGTGGGAAGCCACAATCCACACGACGAGGACTGGTCTATTGAGAAGTGTTTGGAAATATTCAGCACATCTGTTCATTCGGTCTTTAATATTAATGAGAACCTTTTCTTGACCAACTTTTTTTCTCCAAATTGATCCAGTTGGCTGACTATATTTAACTTGCAATTTTTTTTTTATATATGGTACTGTAGAGGTGTCTAAAGTTTACTTCTGCTGTCTTCGCTTCTTGTGCTAGGTCATCTATAAATTTAACGTTATCTGACCTTATTCTCCTCCTTTACCTCCTTATTAGCTTTGTGTGTGTGTGTGTGTGCGTGTGTGTGTGTGCGTGTGTGTTTGTGTTTGTGTGTGTATATATGTGTGTGAGTGTATGTGTTAGTGTGTGTGTGTGAGTGTATGTGTTAGTGTGTGTGTGTGAGTGTGTGTGTGTGTGTTGCTATTCGGCAGTAAAACGTATGGCATGATCATCTTTCGCAAATACGGGCAACAGAAAGTTAGTTAATAAAAAAGTACCTGGCTCGTATTATTTTAACAAATCTTCGTGACTACAATATAATGAATCTAACCTACTTAAACCGTGCAACAAAAACACGTTCTCGACCTCGGATCTCCCACGATAGCACGATATGATTACGGGCTGCATTTTGAAAGTAAGGCAAGATAACAGTTACAGAACAAGCTCCACGTTAGCATCAACAGATTTGACTTGAGTACCTAAAGTCAGTAGACTGCAGACTATCAAAGGCAATGAAGTTACTTCTAGCTGTACTGTTAACTTTGACTGTTGGTAAGGACAAATGGACTAGATTTATTTCTTCTTCGGCAATGCTTGATTTTTTAAGCGTTCGGCATTAATGAAATATTTCCGAAACTGGGCATCAGATGTTGTAGATCCAGCGGTATCTTATAACCGAAATAAACTTCAGTGAGCCTCCTGCACCGGTTTCTACTAGGATATATTACATGGTCGAGTCTAATATTCAGCTTTTATATCTTGATGCTTTTCTTCCATTTATTACCTTGTCTTAGACTTGCATGTCTGATTTCAGTTCTTTCTTTTGTTATGGTATTGCAGAATACTAATCTTTGATGCGTTATAATATTCGTTTTCATGTAACTTTGATGAAGTACCGCGATGGCTAAAAGAATTCCCTACCTAAAGTAGGTAACATAGACCATCCTGTTAATTACAAGCTGCCACAGAGGAAAGGAGGGAGGGAGGAAGAGAGAAAAGAAAACAGTGAGTTGATTGCCTGTATATATATATATTAAAAAAGCAAAGATGAAGAGGTATTGGGAGACCCCAAGAAAAAGAAAATTTTGACAATTATAGTGGCATGGTGGAACATCTGCTGTCAGTGACTGAGCTCGCGTAGATTTAATTAGTTCAAAGTAATCATGTTTAATCATTAAAATTTTATTTTTGTGTTTTATTTTCAGTCAGTGGAAAACCAGCTAGCGAACTGGACGAGAAACATGGTAAGATAGTCACATTTTGCAATTGAGTCAAAGAGGGTAGAAAACAGACTTTGGGAATGGGGGGGGGGGGGGGGGCAAATGATAGACAGACAGAAAAGACAGCCAGACAGGCAGGCAGGCAGGCAGGCAGACAGGCAGGCAGGCAGGCAAATAGACAGACAGACAGACAGACAGACAGACAGACAGACAGACAGACAGACAGACAGACAGACAGACAGACAGACAGACAGACAGACAGACAGACAGACAGACAGACAGACAGACAGACAGACAGACAGACAGACAGACAGACAGACAGACAGACAGACAGACAGACAGACAGACAGACAGACAGACAGACAGACAGACAGACAGACAGACAGACAGACAGACAGACAGACAGACAGACAGACAGACAGACAGACAGACAGACAGACAGACAGACAGACAGACAGACAGACAGACAGACAGACAGACAGACAGACAGACAGACAGACAGACAGACAGACAGACAGACAGACAGACAGACAGACAGACAGACAGACAGACAGACAGACAGACAGACAGACAGACAGACAGACAGACAGACAGACAGACAGACAGACAGACAGACAGACAGACAGACAGACAGACAGACAGACAGACAGACAGACAGACAGACAGACAGACAGACAGACAGACAGACAGACAGACAGACAGACAGACAGACAGACAGACAGACAGATAGATAGATAGATAGATAGATAGATAGATAGATAGATAGATAGATAGATAGATAGATAGATAGATAGATAGATAGATAGATAGATAGATAGATAGATAGATAGATAGATAGATAGATAGATAGATAGATAGATAGATAGATAGATAGATAGATAGATAGATAGATAGATAGATAGATAGATAGATAGATAGATAGATAGATAGATAGATAGATAGATAGATAGATAGATAGATAGATAGATAGTTAGATAGATAGATTGATTGATTTAACTAAATAACATAACTGCCATATTTACATTTGACATTAGCCCATGAAATTACCTTTTGCTCCAAGTAAGAGAAAATCTCATTAAAAAGAAAAAAAATCATATTACTGTTAAAAAAAATCAGAACTACACTGAAGTTTAACTATAGCCCACTGTAGTATCCATGGAAATGAAAAGACAGAGGAGGTCAAAAAGACTGCAAAAAATCTCATGCATGAAACCCGTCTATTGAAATGGGGAAAGGCCAATAAAAACTTCAGAGCAGAACAGTACAAAAATTTGCAGAAACACGCAGGTTAGAATTTGTAGACACCGAAATGAACACTGTTCCGTTTTAGCTTACAGAATAATCTATGGGAGACAAAGGAAGACTTCAATGGCACTATCATGTTTATGTCTAGAACTGATGCACTGCAACGTTCATGACTGAAAGAGTAACTGTAATACTTTCTTGGTTGTATTACTTTTCTTTGTGCAATGTGAATGTTGCTATGGCTGATTTTGTACGTATGTATGTATGTATAATGTAAAGTTTCAATATATCTTATTTACAATACATTATGGACTATGTTGTGACTTGTGAGCGCTTTCACCATAGCGCTCCATCAGTGCTCCATTAGCACACAAAAACAGCTACACAAGTGATTTTATTAGGGCTCAAGATATTTGATTTTTGATTTTGATAAAACACTTTCAATTCTGGCAGCTTCATACCTACACCCACTAATGTGTTTATTTCTTGGCGACAGTAGTTCGGGTTTTAATATCAATGTCGAGCGAGTAATTAACATTTTCACCCCCAGTGATCTAGAAAAAAAAGGTGGGGGAAAAGGGGGTTGGGGGGGGGGTTGAAAAAGGGAGTGGGGGTAAACTGATTTGCCTGAAATGCCCCGTTTTTCAGCTAAAATATTAATGCGATGTCCCGTCTTCAGCTCAGGATATTATGGTCACCCACGGCCGGCTGTATATTCAGTCCTGACAACTGAATCACGGTACATTTTGGAGGAGTCCCCTTCGAAAATAGGTTACTGGGAGCGTTTCCATATTGCATTGTGTGACATATTAATAGGCTTACAAAGTCCTGTGTTCTAAACGTATTCGTATTACAAATCTACAAATTGATATTGTGAAGTGGATATACAGCAATTTTAATTTTAATAAATCTGGAGCTGGCCGTTGGTCAGCCTACATCTGCTTGTTTACTTATGAAACCATGACTTTTAGTGCTATTCTTTCTAAGCCATGTAAAATATACACATGTGTGCGCATATACTAAAATATGTCTGTGCGCGTGAGTACGCATATGGTTTTTAATATTATAATTTTTTCTATTGCTAGATGCGAAGAGAATCATCTGTTCACTTGTAATGTGTGACATCTACTGTCCTTATGGTCACGCTAAAGACGCCAGGGGCTGCCCTCTCTGCGGATGTAACGATCAGACAACAACAGCAATACCAGTACATCGCTGTCCTCTTGTGATGTGTGACATCTATTGTCAGGGCGGCTTGAAAGTCGGGGCTGACGGTTGTCGTCTGTGTCAGTGTAACGACATTGCTGATGTGTAGACTTCACAAGACTTCGGAGTAAATTATTTATGGCAACGTTTTCTAGTAACCATCAATAAAAGTATGCACTTGTGTAACTCTTCTGCTTTTTTTTTTTTTTTTTTTTTTTTTAACCAAAACCTCTTAAATTACTCGATTATAAAAGAATATTCAGCAGTTGCAAGATAAAACCATCATCGTTTCCTGTTGGAAATTATTTTAATACACCTTTTCTGTGGCGATAAGGCATGTATTTCGCGCTTGTTTGGATAAAGAAAAAGAAGAGCTCCACGAGGGTAGCTCTTTCGGATTTAACGGTGAGTTATTGCACCAAGTCAGTGATGTCGCCATGATCACTAAGATGGTCCTCACGCCTCATTATGGTGTTTCCTGAACATCACGTCTGGCCAACATACAGTAATAATTCTCCTAAGGTGTACAGAAGGTACACAGATTTTGGCATTGACATTACGGAAATGTCCAGAGATGGAACTTGATCAACTCATAAATTTATGAGAAGCTTTAATGAGGTAAATGATTTCCACCACTTCCGTGAAGTTGTTGCACATCAAGGTTAGCATCGACTTCTATTTCTTAACAGTTGTTGCCTGTCATAAAACTGCGGATTCTCGTGTATATCTTCGCCATTAGGCAGCCACAAGAAAAGTGCAATGGGCAAAAGAAGTCACTGTTTATTGCTTTCATATATCTGGCTAAAGCTTGTATTTATATTAGCAGAGATTGCCTGTTTAAAATTCTTGTTAAAAACAGATGCCTACAAAAAAAAAAAAAAAAAAAAAAAAAAAGAAGTGCTTGTTTAATCCTTTCATGAGAATATAAAAACAACATCATAAATGAAGATTCGTCTTCTCCCTTCCAAATTCGTAAATGGGGTAGAGCAAGGTTCCGTTCTAGCTCCCACATTGTTTGACATCCTATTTTCTTTCGCACTGCTTCTGTGTGCTTTGGGTCAGCCAGCGATAGGATATATCTCCGTACGAAGTTAGAGGATAATATTTTCAACCTGTCCGGGCTTTGTGCAAAGACTAATGTTCAGACCTGATGCCTCTATTTGCCGATGATGCAGCCGTTACTGCACATACAGAAAATGGTTTGCAGATTCCCATGAATCGCTTAGCAACTACGTGCACATAATTAGGACTCATAATTAGTCTCAACGAAACACAAGTGACTGGGATGTTCGTGATAAACACACCAATAAAAAGCGTTTACGACCCTAAGCTGTTGATTTTACAGGAGTTTGCGCACGCCATTGAATCGCAAAAGAACTTTGCCTACATGCCGAACTAAACAGACGAATGGCCAAGGCTCCAGTAATACCTTTGAAACTCTCAACGAGAGGGAGGTCGAACAAAAAAGCTGACAGACAGGACTAACATCAAAGTTGATGAATCTACGTTCTAAACGGGCTCCATTTGGGTATCGAAACCTGAACTCCATATGCTCTTCAAAAGGGGTGGGGGTGGGGAAGTGATATTTTCCACATGCGCTGGGTGAGACACATTCTTGGTATTTCATGGCGAGACTTTGTCCACAATGAATGTGTATTCAGTAGAGCAGGAGGGCCAAAAGTGTACTTTCTACTGAAGCAAGGACACTTGTCCTCGACGGGAAATGTCTCCCCCATGGAGGACAGTCGTATTCCAAGGCATCTCCTGTATGATTTGATTTGATTAGATTCAAGAATTGACATCACAGCACTCGGGGCATTCCCAAAAGCGCTCCGTCCCCATCTTCAGCAGCCAGCGAAGAGTTCGATACTAATGGTACAAATAGCTTTCTGATTAAACGTCCGTCTTGCCTTTCCTCTGAGCCTCGAGCTTCTGCCAGAATCTCTCTTCACCCCCAACTGCATCAATCTCACCAGACTGTGGTGATCCATCTGCTGCTCCGAATTGTACACGCTCTCCCACAAGGCACTAACCACGTCTGCCCTATCTTGTATCAGTATTCCACCAAGTTGTGCAAAGCCAGCCAGTCTGTCCGCCTGTTTATTTCCCAAGACACCGGCGTGACCCGGTGAAAAAATCCAGACAATACTCCTCACTCGTGTCCTCCGCAGCGAAGCATGCCACTCTGCACGAAGCATACCTGTTCTGATCTTCCTCAGCATGCTTTCTGAATCAGTTACAATAACGATGTGTGTGTGTGTGTCGTGTTCTCTAGCCAGCGGAAAGCTGCAGTGACCGCCTCCACCTCCATTCTTAAGCTGGATGTTGTTGTATCATATGCTATGCTCTCCTGCACCAAACGTCGACCATTAACTTTTGCTAAGAAGCCCCAAGCACTTCTTTTGCCTCTTGACACTGAACCGTCTGTGCAAATGATCAAATCCTCCGAGCGAGCATTATCTTGAATTAATTGCTGAATTTCCACCTCTGTGGCACCTGCTGACCAGTCTCTGCCTTCCCGGCTCAGCGTGATTATGACTCTACACAGGTCTGACTGCTCAGGTGGCACTTTGACCCACTCCTCTCCTCGCCTAATGTTCTCAAGGATGCAAACCTGTTTGATTGTGTCTTCTGCCTGAGCCATCCATGACCTCCCTCTTATCAGCCGCTGACCCTTAACTGCACCCAGAGCTTCATTCAGAGGGTGGTCTGTGTCTGCAGCTACCCTGAGATATGACTTCGCCTGCAGTACCTTGTGCCTACCTGCAACCGTAGGCAAACCAAGGATGTATCGCATACACACCACTGGGGTATCTCTGGTACAACCCAGAATGACCCGCATAGCCGCGTTCTGTATGAGCTCTGGAAACGGGGGAAATATATCCAGGAAGGCGTAAGCAACGCTATAAGGGTAAATGCAGGGGGGGGGGGGGGAACAGTCCCACGTACTTCCCTATAGAAAGAAACTTCCGTGAGAAAGCCAACCTCCAAGTATCATCGGTTTTATGTGGACTATAAGACAAATGCTTTCTCTTGCACATGTTTTTACATTCATAGCTGACGCTGCTTCCAAAACAAACGACTTAGCTCCGGGGTCCATATCGACTGACGGTTCGCTTCTCTAATTCTTCTCTCTGAGTCTTCTAATCAATTTTCTTGTACATTTTCCATGCCAAACTCTTTATTTCTTAACTCCGAGTGTTTCCCCAGTCTTTGTTTTTTGTTTCATTCCGTAATTAACCCCTTCATATCCATATTTTCTCCTATTCCCTTTTTGTTTCGATTTCATGTTGTTGACCGCTGAGTTTTTAAAAAAAGTCAAATTGTGAATTAGGTCGTGCATTGGATGAAGCCATATTTGTAAAAGTAAGCTTTTTTTTCCGACACACTGACCACAGCACCTGTCAAAGTTTAACATGAAACATGAAATACATCGCTTATGTCTGCGAAAAGTAACGGCCGTTATTGCGAAGTATTTATAAGATGTATGGTGGTATACACACACACACACACACACACACACACACACACACACAATCATCTACGCATATCAGCATCATCAACAAATTTTCTAGTAAAGAATGTAGGGGATGGGTGGGGAGGGAGTGGTGTTGCAATCTCGTTAGGACAGCCCTAGTTGGGGGCACCGAGCGCAATCTCCCCCACATCCATTAATTGTGTGTGCCAGTTCCAACAATATAATTATTATTATGCTGAATGACAAGAAATATAATTATATACTTGAAATAGTTTGAAATGGGATGCTGACCACATCACCCATCCTGTGTCGATTCGTCTATAAAAAGATATATCTAGTCTTGTGCCTTATACGCCCAAAGGCGTGGAAAAGATACCTTTCCTTTTTTTTCCTTTTTTTAAATAAAATTTGTAAGCAATTATTTTCAATAAAATTTTTTTTGCCTGGTTACACGGGATCTCCTAGTTTACAAAATTATGGGGTCGGAGGTCTAAACCATTTCAAAAGATATGAGGAAGGGGGCTCAAGGAAACCTTAGCCCCAAGGTTCTGATGCCTATGCTGACTGTAATACAGTATAAGGTGTTTGCGTATCCTTTACAGGACGTTGCAGAACCAACCCCAACAGCCCCTGGCTGTTGTGTGGTTTCTCTAGGCAAATTTACGTCTAGTAGTTTGCCATTGCCCTCTGGACGGTCGGCTTTTTTGATACCACTGTCGAAACCAACGCAAGGCGCATTGCCCGCAGCTGGGATCGAACCCGGCATCCCGGCATTACGAAGCGAAGTGTTCGCATCGACTTAGCCACAGAGCCGACAATACAGTATAGCGTGCCCAAAATAAGGACAACTACTAGAAATCGCAGTTCAGATTGTGTTTTTGCGCACGTAGACTTCTGAAATAATTTTTTCCCCCTCGCTGTAAACTGATTTTGAGACAAAAAAAGGTCATCTATTTTGCATACACAGATTGCTTGTTAGCTCCGACTTGATTTCTCCCCTTATCTTATAGATAATTATAAAAGGGATAGTAAAACGACGGTGAGAAAATTTCGTTTTTCAAACACATGGTTGGTTTTCTCTGCAGAAAATTTACCCCTAGCTTTCCCCCCCCCCCGCCCCTTTTCCACACCCTCACCCCCCAAATATAAATTAACCCATTCATTTTATGGCGCAGTGACAAATTCACAGCGAACACAGAAGTACGTGAAATCTGCTGGTTTATCACAGATGGAGAAAGTTAGCTGGGCGTACAACAAATGATGGTAACAAGTTTAGTGTTGAATAACCTCCTGACCCACTACTCACCGCCGGCTGAATTCGTCTTTCAGTATAAGGATACTCTGTTCCATTGCACTGTCCCTTTGATCCCTTTTAGCTTTCACCAGGCCCAATTTATCATCAAGTAGCTCACCTCCCAGAGGAGCTGCTCGTTACCCCGCACACCCGAATATCTTGGACAGAAATCCATAATTTGCTCCTGACCTGAGTCTGATCAAGTGATTCAAGCCAATCTACACGTAGAACGCAAGTTTCAATTTTTCCACAGCATGTTCTGCGAGCCCTTTACGTATAATACAATATGTCGGGTCTTGATTCTCACCAGCTGTCAGAAACTACTGTTACCACCCCC